GTGTGGTATTTATAGCATAGAAACAGAAGTGGTCTATCGTTGTTGTAATCACGTATTTATAGTGTAGAAACAGAAGTGGTCTATCGTTGTTGTAATCACGTATTTATAGCATAGAAACAGAAGTGGTCTATCGTTGTGTAGAAAGTATAGTGTAGAAAGAGAAGTAGTCTATCGTTGTGGTAATCACGTATTTATAGCATAGAAACAGAAATAGTCCATCGTTGTGGTAATCACGTGACTATAGTGTAGAAACAGAAGTGGTCTATCGTTGTGGTAATCACGTGACTATAGTGTAGAAACAGAAGTAGTCTATAGTTGTGGTAATCACGTGACTATAGTGTAGAAACAGAAGAAGTCCATCGTTGTGGTAATCACGTGACTATAGTATAGAAACAGAAATAGTCTATCGTTCTGGTAATCACGTGACTATAGTGTAGAAACAGAAATAGTCCATCGTTGTGGTAATCACGTGACTATAGTGTAGAAACAGAAGTGGTCTATCGTTGTGGTAATCACGTGACTTTAGTATAGAAACAGAAATAGTCTATCGTTGTGGTAATCACGTGACTATAGTGTAGAAACAGAAATAGTCCATCGTTGTGGTAATCACGTGACTATAATGAAGAAGCAGAAGGGGTCTATCGTTGTGGTAATCACGTGTCTACATCATAAAGGAAGTCGTCTGGATTTATGGTAACAAAATAAAACACATCACGTGACCTGAGTTTTTCATGGCAAGTTTATAAATCCAAACCTTCTTGAAGTATAAGGTAGAAAGTTTACTATGAAATTGTTAGGATTAAAAACATGTTGTTATAGTTTAGTTTCTAGAAGTGAGGCATGTGCTACAATCACGTATAATACTCCCCTTAAGGTCCATTTTTATAGTCGTTTAAATACAAAATGGCCGAAAAAGGTGCTTCAAATGAACAATTCAAATGTGTTTTTTTTTGTAATGTAAACGATTATGTAAAACAGTTTAGTACAGTTTAAGAGACACGGTCTTTATTTCTCTCTTATGTATAAATATAATTATACATTTTTTGACCTGGCTCTTAATTTTCTAGATTTGATTTCGTTTTACTTTTTGTTGTTGTTGTTTTTTATCAAAGGAAATTACAATGGTAGTTTTATAGTATTAAATAAATATTCTTCTGTTATTCGTAATTGGTTTCGTCTATACGATCTGAGCAACAATGTAAAATTATCTACGAAACTTGATTAAGTGCACAGAAAGACAGGATACGAGTTTTTTCACACGCATGGAATGTGATTTGCATACATAATGGCCCGAAAATGATGTAATATAATACAGAATGGATTTATTAATCTACGTGTGAATAAATACAGAAATTACAGTCTCCCTGTACTTTGAGGCCGAGAGTATATCAGAAGAGTGTTGGTCAAACCCAACTATTTGATTAGCGTAGTTCAAAAATTAACGGTTCCTGTTGTTGCCTAGTTGTCTTCCCTGTAGTCTGTGAGTTCAAAATTAGGGGCGTATAGAGTTCTGGAGTACCTTCGGACGAATCTCCAAAACAAACCAAGCTAATCATATCTTCAATATATACACGATATATTCACGGAAACGATCTATACCGAAAACTCATTCGTGATATATTCTCAAAGTAACAGGAAAAAATCCATTAACGATCACATTTCATCTTCATCTAGTGACAGGATAAACAATTATTCACACATCTATCCAGTTTATTCTCCATATAGTATCAGGATAAACAATATTTAACACATCTATCCAGTTTATTTTCTATATAGTGACAGGATAAACAATAATTAACACATCTATCCAGTTTATTCTCCATATAGTGACAGGATAAACAATGATTCACACATCTATCCAGTTTATTCTCCATATAGTGACAGGATAAACAATGATTCACACATCTATCCAGTTTATTCTTCATATAGTATCAGGATAAACAATGATTCACACATCTATCCAGTTTATTCTCCACATAGTATCAGGATAAACAATAATTAACACATCTATCCAGTTTATTCTCCAAATAGTATCAGGATAAACAATAATTAACACATCTATCCAGTTTATTCTTCAAACAGTATCAGGATAAACAATAATTAACACATCTATCCAGTTTATTCTTCAAACAGTATCAGGATAAACCATAGTCAAGGATTAACTGAATTATGTTTCAGTTCCTTCATATCTTCCTGTCTGAGTTGTGAATTATTTCTTATCATTAAGTTCTGAAATGTTAAAAGTAGTTCGTTTTTTGACATCTGTGAATGTCAGTCATTGTTTTATCCATGTTAATACGAATGTCAGTCATTGTTTTATTCATCTTACTACGAATGTCTGTCATTGTTTTATTCATGTTACTACGAATGTCAGTCATTGTTTTATTCATGTTACTACGAATGTCAGTCATTGTTTTATTCATGTTACTACGAATGTCTGTCATTGTTTTATTCATGTTACTACGAATTTCAGTCATTGTTTTATTCATCTTACTGAGAATGTCAGTCATTGTTTTATCCATGTTACTACGAATGTCAGTCATTGTTTTATTCATCTTACTGTGAATGTCAGACATTGTTTTATCAATGTTACCGTGAATGCCAATCATTGTTTTATTCATCTTATTGTGAATGTCAGCCATTGTTTTATTAATGTTACTACGAATGTCAGTCATTGTTGTATTCATCTTACTGAGAATGTCAGTCATTGTTTTATTCCATCTTACTGTGAATGTCAGTCATTGTTTTATTCATCTTAATGTGAATGTCAGTAATTGTTTTATGCATCTTACTGTGAATGTCAGTCATTGTTTTATTCATGTTACTACGAATGTCAGTCATTGTTTTATCCATGTTACTACGAATGTCAGTCATTGTTTTATCCATGTTACTACAAATATCAATAATTGTTTTATTCACGTGATTACAAATATTAAGCATTGTATTATTCATGTCAATAAGAATGTTAACACGCTCTTACTTTCTTGGAATAACGTTTAGAATGCTCTGGTTTTAAGAATAGGTCCTTAGAAATAACGATTGACTTTCAAATATATATATATCAGAATTAGTTTTTACATAATATATTTCGTCTTTCCTTCGCTTCTCTGTATTTTATTTTTTTTTAGTTTCTGCTGAAAGCTTTGTATGAGCCAAATCTAACTGAGTCTGCAAAAGTCGTATGTTTCGGCAGTCAGTATTTTCTTGATATTCGTAATTGCATTTTTACTAAGACACCTAAACTTCTTTTTTTAAGCATCCTCTCTCTCTCTCTGCAGACACCTAAATTTATTTATATTTCAAAATTTCGCGATGTACAAATACTTTTCGAAACATACACTCTCCTTAGACACTATTTCCAATTACTAGAACTCCACACACACCCCTTTTAAGTAAAGTTCTATCGAAAACTAGGCCTGTAGTTCTTTCCAGACACGACATTTCTTAAGACCCCTAAATCTACATTGTTGCAAATTTACATAAACATTTTCAGAAATCGTCATTGTTTTAAAATTACTTGCACAATATTCATCAAATATTTTTATAAGAGAATTTTCAGGCACCTGTTAATAATTATTTTAAAATTACACAAACTATTTCAGACACCTTAATCAAAATGGTTTCAAAATTACAGACTATTTTCAGACACCTAAATCTACTGTTTTAAAATTGCAGGCTATTTTCATACACATATATCTACTGTTTTAAAATCGTAGACTATTTTCCGACCTCTAATTCTGCATAATTTCAAATTACAGCCCATGTTTTTAGAACAAGCCGTAAAATAAAGTTAATGCTGTGTTTATTTTAAACTGTTTACACATCACATATTTCATATTTTGTACATGTTAAACGGTCCCTTAGATTAAGAAATATTTCAGCACGCTATGTCTTTTAATCTCTTCCTCAACATTTCCGGAAAATTAGCATAAAATAGACTTGCAACTGTACGTATATTGAAATATGAGTTTCAGTTCTCTTGATTTAATGACTTCGCTTTAGGTTCAACTTCCTGAAATATATTTTATGATGTTTTACGTATAGTTCACTACATTCTTTATGGTACATCTAATTTTACATCACTTTATTGAGTTCAATAAATCTTTTTATTTCATTAATGAAAATATCAACTAAGCAAGTCTGATCGAAGAGTGTGAGTAGACCTAAGTAAGTCTGTCTGCAGAGTGTAGGTAAGCCTAAGCATGTCTGTACGTAGGGTGTAAGTAAACATAAGCATGTCTGTCTGTAGGGTGTAAGTAAACCTAAGCATGTCTGTCTGTAGGGTGTAAGTAAACCTAAGCATGTGTCAAATGGTCAGCTTTTTAACACGCCCTTCTGATTTCTGATATGTACTCTCGTAGCAAATGGTCAGATTTTTAACATTCTCTTTTCATTTCTGAATTCACCAAAAGAAAAAAAAAAACGTCTGAAAATAACAACACCGTTATTAAAGTTTGGCGCTTCACGAGATTATCCTGAGAAATGACACGTGACGCACGCTATTGGTTGCCATTTCACTAATGAATGATAACGACTCTTGAGACACGCCCCACTGAATTTAATCCAGTCCTAGTCCACACGCAAACACGTAGTATTTAATCAAATGCCATCAATAATTCATTAGGAACAGCCACTACCAGTGGGATATTGGGGGGGGGGGAATTCCCCACAATATTGCATGATGGTTAGTACATGTCTGGTGTTTATATTTATTTTCTTGGGGGGGGGGGGAGGTGGAAATGATTCCATTTCGTGAACGACTAGTTCTTACAAGTCAATAAAGATGGTGTATCCTAGAAGTTTCACCAAATAACCTTATGTGATTACATTCTATGCTTGGTAACCGTAAAAATAAGATAAAAGCATTCGAGACGACAACAGTCCTTCATAAGGTGACATAAATAAATAAAAGCTTCAGAAGATCTTTCCAGTTTAACACTCTAGTGAACAATAAGAATAACACTCCAGTGAACAATATGAATAACACTCTAGTGAGCAATATGAATAACACTCTAGTGAACAATAAGAATAACACTCTAATGAACAATATGAATAACACTCCAGTGAACAATATGAATAACACTCCAGTGACCAATATGAATAACACTCCAGTGAACAATAAGAATAACACTCTAATGAACAATATGAATAACACTCCAGTGAACAATATGAATAACAATCCAGTGACCAATATGAATAACAATCCAGTGAACAATATGAATAACACTCTAGTGAACAATATGAATAACACTCCAGTGACCAATATGAATAACAATCCAGTGAACAATATGAATAACACTCTAGTGAACAATATGACTAACACTCTAGTGAACAATATGAATAACACTCCAGTGAACAATATGAATAACACTCTAGTGAACAATATGACTAACACGCTAGTGAACAATATGACTAACACTCCAGTGACCAATATGAATAACACTCCAGTGAACAGTATGAATAACACTCTAGTGAACAGTATGAATAACACTCTAGTGAACAATATGAATAACACTCCAGTGAACAATATGAATAACACTCCAGTGAACAGTATGAATAACACTCCAGTGAACAGTATGACTAATACTCTAGTGAACAATATGAATAACACGTTAGTGAACAATATGACTAACACTCCAGTGAACAGTATGAATAACACTCTAGTGAACAATATGAATAACACTCCAGTGAACAGTATGAATAACACTCCAGTGAACAGTATGAATAACACTCTAGTGAACAGTATGAATAACACTCTAGTGAACAGTATGAATAACACTCCACTGAACAGTATGAATAACACTCTAGTGAACAGTATGAATAACACTCCAGTGAAACAGTATGAATAACACTCCAGTGAAACAGTATGAATAACACTCTAGTGAACAATATGAACATCCAGATACAGTATGACCTCTTTAGAAACACTAACAATAAAAAATCCAAACGAACAGATTTGATTTTTATCTAACCATTTCTTAAACTAAAACAAATAACACATTAGCAATCAAGTAATAACGAGAAAGTGCTGAGTGAGTGGCAAATTTACAGACTTTTAACACTCAATCCGGGATTTGATTTCATTGGCGGACAGTGCGAAGTTAACCCTACTGTGATTTCTAGCCAGTTGGAAGTGTGTTTTGTTTTACAGATGCATGAAGAACAATAATAAGAAATAGAATTATAACCTAGCATGACCCGGTAGTTAGACCTGGCATGACCCAGTGGATAGGCTTGGCGTGCCCCGGTGGTTAAACCTGGCATGATTCGGTAGTTAGACCTGGCATGATCCGGTAGTTAGGCCTGGCGTGATTTGGTGGTTAAACCTGGCATGACCCAGTGGATAGGCTTGGCGTGACCCGGTAGTTAGACCTGGCATGACCTGGTGGTTAAACCTGGCATGACCTGGTGGTTAAACCTAGCATGACCCGGTAGTTAGACCTGACATGACCCAGTGGATAGGCTTAAGTGACTCGGTGGTTAGACCTGGCATGACTCGGTAGTTAGACCTGGCATGATTCGGTAGTTAGGCCTGGCATGATTCGGTAGTTAGGCCTGGCATGATCCGGTAGTTAGGCCTGGCGTGACTCGGTGGTTAGACCTGGCATGATTCGGTAGTTAGACCTGGCATGATTTGGTAGTTAGACCAGGCATGACTCGGTAGTTAGGCCTGGCATGACTCGGTAGTTAGACCTGGCATGATTTGGTAGTTAGGCCTGGCATGATCCGGTAGTTAGGCCTGGCATGATCCGGTAGTTAGGCCTGGCGTGACTCGGTAGTTAGACCTGGCATGACCT